AAGGTCTGTTTTCCTGACCTCTGATCATGCGCATGGCTCTTCTCTGGACTCTCTCAAGCTTCTCCACATCCTTTTTGAATTGTGGAGCCCAAAACTGGAGGCAGTACTACAGCTGCGGCCTCACCAAGGCCCTGTACAAGGGGAGAATGATGTTCCGGGATTTGCTTGAGAAGCATCCGTGGATGCAAGCCAGTGTTTTGGTCACTACTAGCTGCAGCATCTCATTGAAGGCTCATGTTCATCTTCTGGTCTATGATGACCCCCAAGTCTCTTTCTTCTGTAGTGCTAGCCAGCGTAGCACTGCCGAGCCTGTAAGGATGCTGCAGGTTTTTCTTCCCTGGAGTAGTGTGTCCAGTTTTGGGCCTCCTGCTATAGAAAGGATGTGGACAAATTTTGTTGCCCAGTGTAGGGCAACAGAAATGGTGAGGGGGCTGGGAAACATGACTTCTGAACAGAGGTTAAAGGAACTGGGCTTATTTAGCCTGCAGAAGAGAAGATTGGGGGGATTTAAAAGTAGCCTTCGAGTACCTGAAGGTTGGTTCCAAAGAGGGTGAAGCTAGACTGTTCTCAGTGGTAACAGATGACAGAACAAGGAGCAATGGTTTCAAGTTGCAAGAAGGGAGGTTTAACTTGGATATTAGGAAAATCTTTCTCACTAAGAGGGTGGTGATGCACTGGAACAAGTTACCTAGAGAGGTGGTGGAATCTGCAGCCTTGAAGGTTTTTAAGATTTGCCTAGACAAAGCCTTGGCAGAGATGATCTAATTGAGGGTGGTCCTGCCTTGAGGGTGTTGGACTAGATGACCTCCTCAAGTCACTTCCAACCCTCATCTTCTATGATTCTATGATACTATTGCATTATAGGCCCCTTGGGTTGGTGAGAGACAACCTGTGACCTCCTGAGGACCCTCCCAATCCTAATTGTGTATGATTTTCTGTGATTTCAAGAGCCTTACTACGGATGCGTTCCCAGCAGTTCACAGTATCACAGCAATTGTGTTCCCTGTGCTTCCAAGAGAGAAAGGAGACATGTGCATTGCAGTCCATGTTATCTTTAAATGATACCTTTTAAAGAAATAAGCGTGTGCCGCCTCTGATGGTGATTTTCAGCCAGGGTGCCGCAAAGCTCCCTTAAAGGTCGCTGCACAATATTAGCACTTAGGTGTGATAGCACCTACCTGTAGTTCATAAAATAAACCCGGAGACTCAGCTTTTTGCCTTCCCCTGTAGCAGTAGGCATGGCTCTTTTCCTGGGATCCCTTGAGCTTATACTGACAGCATGGCATAGAAGCAGGACCTTGGCTGCTATGGTTCCCCTGCTTTGCCTGTGGCAGGTTAGGACAGGGGTTGTCACCTGGGGGTACTTGGGAAGGCCCTAGGGGGTAGGCACAAGTGAGCAGGGACGAAGCGCTGCTGCCTTCCAGGAGCAGGGCCAGGGTGGGGCGAGGGCAGCAGTGCCCCTCTGGGCTGCACAGACACCAGTTGTACAGGGGGGAGGGGGGGGAGATCACGCACCGCTGCCACCTACCCCCCCATGCTGCCGCCACTCTGCATCTGGCTGTGCACCCCTCCTCCCCCCGTTCCATGTCCATCTGCCAGGGGTACGCTTATTTAAAAAGGTTAAAACCCCCTGGTTTTAGGATGTTAGGTCTGTGTTGTGTCCTAGTTGACAGTAGTCTTACATAGATAATAGATTATGGTTTGGATAGGGTTGATCCTGCCTCGGGCAGGGTGTTAGACTAGATGACCTCTGGAGGCCCCTTCCAGCCCTTCTCTCTGACCATAGTCTGTGACTTTGTGACATGCTGCCCTGCTGGGTTTCTGAGTTGTTTGCAGCAGAAGACCAGCTCTGCTACTTTTCTGTAGTCAAAACTTAGAGGTGGGGAGTTTTCAAATCTAGTGGTTCTCAGCCTTTTTGGACTTAAGCTACCCCTTCATCACTTGTGTGAATTTGAATGGCACCCATTTCAAAAACTAATTTATATACTACAGTTCTTACTGCAGGGACAGGTCTGAGCCTGCGCTCATCTGCTTGTCTCTTCATGTGATGCTTATTCCCTCACACCTTGGGGCATTCTTCAAAGGATCTAGCAGTAGCTGAGAGTGCCCAGGCACCCTGGTTGAGAATCCGTGTTCTGTTCTAAGGCTGTGCCTTGAGCTGGATGAGGGGTGCCTTGAGTAAAAAAACATTGAGAGGCACTGCTCTATGGGATGTGGATTGTGTTGCTCTTGTAGAAGAAGAGTGTCCTGCTGTCATTATCCAAGTGTTTTTGAGTGAAGTTGTCTAGCTCAGCAGTTTCTTTTTTTGAGGTACCTGCACTATATATACTGCATAATTGCTTGTCACTGCCTGATGTTTGCCATGCTCTGCTTCCCCAAATCAGTCTCTAGTTTAAGCCTGCTCTCCCACCTGTATAATTTTGGCTCAGGTGTCATCTACAAATTAGGTCACATTTCATTATGCACAAAACACTCGGTGAAGGCCGCTAATGCAAAGTGATTGGGTTGTTTGTGGGATTTTAACTTCTTGCATATTTTTTTCAAGCAAAATTACTTAATTATGCTACAGCTAGCATTTGAGTTGCTGATGAAACAAATTCTAGAAGTGTTGTGTTTTGGCTTGGGGTGCAAGGGACAAAGCATTGCTGCCCCTGGACTGTATTTTAGCTAGGATCAGACTTGCTTTCCAGTTCAGAAAGTTCCATCTAAAAACAAAAGGAAATTTCCACTGTGGCTTTAAGAGGGAGTGGGAAGCATAGATAACTGAAATGTATTTTCCAACAGACTCACAAGGCCATGTCAATTGGGCGGCAGGGTCGTGTTCAAGTTGAAGACATCGTCTTTTTGATCCGCAAGGACCCACGGAAGTTTGCCAGAGTTAAAGATTTGCTGACAATGAATGAAGAACTCAAACGGGCCAGGAAGGCTTTTGATGAAGCCAACTATGGATCTTGATGCCTTGCCTTTGCGTGGTGCAAAGATGGTATGTTCCTGGGGACTACCCATTATTAGGGACCTACCAAAATTACAGCAGAAGTGGGCTACACAGCAGCTCCTTTAATCTTGGTGGTTCCCCCTGCTCCCTCCTGCCCCTGTTGCTGATTGACCTGGTGGCCCTCCTGCTTGCTGCTGATTGGCTGGAAGGCAAAAACACTGGTATATTTAAAATTGGTTTTCTCCTTCCTGCCAATGAGGAGCAAGCATTGGGGTACCTTTACCGGTGGGGTGTGTGGAGGGCATGGGGACACACAGGGGACCCTACAAGATTTCACTGTGATTTTGGTAGATCCCTGCCTATTAAAAAACCTTGCCTGCCATTATCCTTAACCATTTTGGCAATGATTCCATCCCTCCTTTCCAAAAAAACCAGAAAAATTAACTATGACTGGTTTGGGGATTTTTAGGCTAAGTACTTGGGTACCTTCTATGCTTTTAAGCCTTAACTGGCCCTTTAGTGTTGTCTGTGAAACTAGTAGCTTTATCTCATTGCATTTGTTGTTAATTGGAATTTTTGTATGTTATTTTAAGACATTTGGGGAGGTTGTCACTAAACAGGACTAGAAATCCTTATTGCTCTCATTTTGTAGCAACATATTCAAGTCATGTAGCAGATGACTAAAGCAGTAAATATGAACTGGAGTTTTGTTTTTTTTATTGATTTTATTTTTTTTTTTTTAACAGATATTCTGGTTCTCATTAGCACAGATGCTTTAGATCTCAGATCCCACAAGTGGATTTCAAAGGAGTGGGTGGAAAAATTTTGTCTGGACATATTTGACCAAATGCACTGTATACCTCTCCAAATACAAACTACTAGGAGTTTTGCTTTTCCATGTCTCCACCCTGATGATGGGTATTGAATAAAATGTTTTAACACTTCATTCCTCTTGCTCTTGAGTGAGCTATTGGATCTAGCTGTCAAGACACAGGACAAATGTCTTTATATGGAGACAGGTAAGTAACAATGCAAGCAAGGTACTCTGTTTATCAGAAATGGTCTTGCTTATGCATTACTAAATGCTAATGAGGGTGATTTGTACTAGGGTACAGACTGAAGTCATCGGGTTCCAGATACCTGAAACTCAGGTTTGTCCAGCCTACACTAACTGCAGCTAAACAAAGATTTAATAAATAATCTTGAAGAAAGACTAACTATAACATGTTAGGCATTTCTTGTCTGTATAATTGATAATGTTGAAGGGATGTTATTTCCTGGACCTTTGCAGCTATATGAGAGGTAGGAATTCTTGGGGGTGATACCTTCATTAGACCATGTGTTTGGCATAGACATAAGCAGACTTTCAGGTATCAGGACCCTTCTCCTCAGGTCTCTTCTTTCAAAGAAATTTTTGGTGTAGCACTTATTAAACTGTCTGAAAAATTAATTTGCATGATAGTAGCAGCTTGGGTTAATGGGTGAAACTTACCATCTGGGGTCTAAATCCTAACAAAGCTGACTCACCTTTCCTCCCTAGGACTTAACATGGTCAGATCCTGAGGAAAGGCTATGTACTTCTACTTAATCTCCAAGAATGAAATAACTCACCTGGGGCTCTTGCAGACATATTCCCCTACATGTCTCTAACCCACTGGTGTGATAGCATTAGCAATTGCATCAGAAATACTATATCCATGACTTTATTTACAAGTGAGCATTTAAAATGACACCTATCTGAAGCTAGCCTCTACTGTTGTTTGTTAGGCTACAGAACTGAAGTTTGCTGCCTGAAACCAGCATTCAACCATGTAGGTAATCAGGTTTGTATTTGCAAACACTTGTAAGCAAAGAAAGTTGCAACATGGCTCCTGACAATTTATTAAATAATTCAGGAGTAGAATTAACTGTCACCATTGAAACCTGGTAACATTCACAAGAAACATGAAATGTGTGGAACTATATCCCCAAACAAGCACCATCACGCTGACTTTACAGAAGTATGAATGACGTGAGGGAATATTGTAAAAAGCATTGGTGCTTACTGGTGGCATACTTTGAGGTCATTGTTGTGGGCACCATAAGTTTGCATGACAGATCTAGGTACACCTGTATGGAATACCTTCCCTAAGACTTGTGGAAGTGGATAATCCTTTGTTAAAAGTGTGAGAACTGCCAGATTTGAATGCCTGAGTGCAGTGCCAGATAAGATGAACGTGAAAAAGATATTACTGCCCTTCCAAGCACTCTTGGGAAGTATTTATGCACGAGAGTAGTTTCACTGAACATAACAGGCTTGTTCCTCCTACACAGCAGATTGCTGGACTGGGAAGAACTTAATCTATAAGCAGTGTCCAGGAAAGTGATTAAGTACTAACCAGATGCTTGTATTAAACTTAAAATAAGGTACAAGCCCACTTTCTCCTTTTTCTCTACCATGAAAAGGCCTGAAAGGAGTGCAACACTATCTGCTTGTGTTATTCAGTTTCAGGAAGGAGAATCCACTGCAAGGGGTAGCCTTGAAGTAGTCCAGCTACTTATACTATACAGTCACATGGCATCCGCTCAGCCTGAGCTGCAGCATTTGCTTGTGTAGCATCACTTTAGAGAACAAAGGCTCTTGTGGAAGGAATGCTCCTGAAGGCAGTTATATGAGAGGCTTGCTCCAGCTTGTTATCACACAGCTTAGATCCTGTGGGTCACTCAGGAGAGACTTAACTTCCCAGACAGCAGGAACCCTTTGGATTCAGAACTCGCTCCCTAGAATCTAGCCTACATGTTCCACTGCCTGTTCTCAGGTGGTGATTACTGTACATGTAAAGTAAGAGGAATAATACAATATGGTTCATATTGGAATGTACTGAATATTTCAGTGCTATAAAGTTTCCCTCCCAGGGGAGGGAAAGAATTATATCAAGATTCCTTCTACTATTAGTAGGTAGTCTAGAGAAGAAGCCCTCCTGTATTACACAGCACCAAACATTTTAGTGGAGACTGTTCCACGCAGGGCTTTTAAACACTTGATACCTCAGCATACAACAGAGCCTGGGACACTACATTTTTCCTTAGAAGAAAAGGAGTCCACAAAACAGCTGTTCCCCAAACAGCCCCATATTCTTGGGTGCTAGGGTCCTGTCTACTACGTGAACACAATATGCCACTGTAAAAATCTTGCTTTAATGAAACTGCTTAGTAAGGCCACATTCTTCTATGCAGTACATCTGTCACATTCAACTTCTAAGTGTGAACAAAATGTCAGCAGCATTCTTGTGACTTCAGGTGGAAGGCAATAGAACAGTTAAATGCAGTTGTAACAAGTAAAGTTTGACAAAAATAACCTCATCTGCATGTGCCACCACCCAGCGTCACACCCACTACCGCAAAAATGTTGTCTATATCATCGTTCTCACTCACTCCTTTCGTTAAAGGCCAAGGATTTCTTCCCCCTGCTTTCAGTTCAGAGGTCCCCACCTTTTCTCGTTTTTTGAAGGGCTTGGCAGCAGGAAGGAAGGATGCAGCATTAGTCCTATGGCCTTCAAGGATGGCAGAAACATTTTGCTGACCAAAGTTTGGAGTCTTCTTTGACTTTCTGGACAGTTTCATCCTGATTCTCCTCTGCCAACAGGACCCTAGTCTGTAATACTGTTTTGGCAAACGTGCATTTTGGGAGCCAGAGAGCAGGAATTTGCTGATAGATGCTTTGACACAGCTCAGTTTTTTCTGCAAGCTTCAAAGAGAAGGGGGCAGGGGGAGAGAAAGGTAGAACACAGTTTAGTGACTGATAAAAGTAAAACATTTCTACCTGGCTAAGATTCAACCCTGTCTGCTTTGGGGGATTCAGTACTCAGGTACTTCTCCATCCTTTTTGTGTGTTGCAAGATGTGAGCTGAAACGTCCACAAAAAGCAACTTATTCCTAGTAGGGACACAATGTTTACTCACATCCATGACACACAACAGGCAGTTACTGCAAATCTGACTCTAGCCAAAAATCAGAACCAAATTTAAGTCACAGCCCTCTCTGCCACTTACTGTCAGGCATAGCTCTGGTTCTGGCTTCATTCTCTGCTGAAGTATGGAGCACATGGAAGCTCAGCCCCTGCCCAGCCAGGCAACAGCTCCAGGGCTGGAGCTTCTGGGCAGGAATGGAGGCAGAGCCATGCCTGACCATAAGAAGGGGAGGAGGCAGAACAGACAGTACAGGACACAAATTTAAGGTAACCCTCTGCTAATTTGATTCTGCATGGAGAGTTACAGCAAGTTTGTCAACTTTCTATATGTAGAATCGAATTACTGGGGAGGGGATCATCTAAAATTTGTGGTCTTTATATTTCTGTATCTGTAAACAATTCCACCAATTTGTCTTCACAGAGACTTGCACAGGTTTAACTAAAACAGTACCATATTCTGATGGAAACATTTCAGTTTAAGAGCAACTTGTTTCAACTGAGCTCAAACCATGTTTACCATCAGCTACCTAGGAACAAAAAGCCACTTTTATGGCTGTGCCAGAAGGGTACAAGAAGGAGATTTACTCGTGTAGTTATCAGAATTTTAATTCAATCTTTAAAGTTATACCAATGCACCCTTCCCACACAGCCAAGGCCTAAATAGTAACTTACTGTGAAGTACTGTTTCTAGAAACCTTAAATCTATGTTCAGGGAAACATACCTGCATCCTTGGGCCTCCACATGCTGTAGCCGGTTGCTTTTCAATAGTTTGTTTTTTAGAAAGCAGGTTTCTGCCCTGAGCTTCTTGCTTCTGAACCAAAGAATGGCTGTTCTGAGTGCTTCTGAGAGTTCCCTAAAAGTGTGGGCTTCCCGAAGGGTCAGCACCAGAGATCTGCTGTGCTGAGACCTCATTGCACAAGAGGAAAGTGGTGCTGGCCTCACTTTGGCTTCAGGAACTGTTAGCATGAAACTTCTATCCTGAAAGAAATAAAGGGGAAGAAATCAGTCCCTAAAAAAAACAGCAAAACACCGAGCTTCCCACAGGAGGGAAGCAGAGATGTTCAGTGTTAGAGAAAACCCTTTTACTGCATGGGGAAGCAGCGGGGCAGTGGTCTAGCCATTAAGAGTACAGCACTCCAGAATTTGAGATTAAGGCTCTATTTCCAGCTCTACCTAACTTTCTTTGCGATTCTGGGAAGTTCTTTCACTTCCTTGCCTTTGCTTTCTCCAGCTTTAAAACAGAGACTTCCCAGCACAAGCTCTACACCAGGCTTGTCCAACATGTGGCCCATGGGCCACCATGCGGCCCTCCAAGCTGTTTTCTGAGGCCCAAGGTGCTGCAACAGGAAACAAAAGTAAATGCTGTACTTTCATTTCAGGGGTGGGGGGTGATGCGATACCACTTCTTGTGAGGTCTTTGAATATGGCTCACCAGCCCACTGGGTGATAAAGAGTGTGATCTGGCTCCACATTCAAAAAGGCTGGACACCCCTTCTCTACACAATGCCTCTAAGGCTGGGAACTGAGAGTGCCTTCTCTCTGCTTTTACCTATGTAATGTTTCAAGTGCGTTGAATCTTGTAATTGCATGCAAGGGTTTGAAGTGGAGGTCTGGAGGAATCATTAGATAAATCATCATCTGTAAATGCATGGGACTAGATCAAAGACGTAGAAGGCCCCTTCCAGTGCTGTGTTCCTACCTGCAAAGCACCTGGCCAATTAATGAAAGCCAAGCTAATGGTTTTCATGGCAAAAGAACATGGGGGGGCAGAGGGGGAAGATAATGTCTAAAGGAGTGGGGGCCAACATTTTTGGTAGATGTCACAAATTAGCCCTCTATCCTCTCCCAATTGTCACTCCTATCCCCTTCTGCCTGCTGTTCTGTTGTTCTCTCTGCCTGATCTACTGCTCTGATTTCTTCCTCCTTTCATGTTCTCTCTACCCAATTTACCACTTTGCTTTCTGCTTTTTACCCTGTCTGCTACTGTGCTGCCTGTCCCCTCCCCAGTCTGTCATGTCCTATACGTAGAGACTATCTGTGCCACTTGTGACACCGTGGTCTAAAATAAATGAAAAGTATTTGGGGCTGGAAGCCTTCTCCAGAAGGTAAAAGTCTATTTTAAATTATGCCATACAGACCTCTGGGACTCGGGCTTTCAGTTGTCTGCAGAAGGTCTTGACATCAAGTCCCAGATGTTTCCCTGAATTGGGGAGAAAAGAAAAACCATCACTTAAAAATGGGAAAAAATATTTGGGTAAGTTCTTTCCAGAACTGCACTGCAGAACTTCACCCCAGCTGGGCTGTTCAGTGTGCTGCACTGCCATACAGGACCACCAGGTCACAAGCTAACAGACCTTGGGATTTGCATCCATGCTCGGCAATGCCAGCAGGCAATCAATCCAAAAAGCAGAAAGGCAGGTGAGAAAGACCTATACACATCTGCCAGGTAGATGCACAGGACAAAATTGAAAAAAAACAAAAAACTAACTAGATGGGTAAAAAACCCCATAAAATGCTCTTATGCTTGGAACCCACTGCAAGGACTGGAAGGAGTGTCTTGTGGTTACAGGACAGAACTAGGGAGTCAGAAACTGGGTTCTGGTGCTCAGCTCACACTTCACTTCCCCTCTCTAAAATAAAGGGGATTTAATGAGAAAAAACAATTATATAGGGCCATGGGAAGCTTCCTTCATTTGTGCTTCTGAAGTGCAAATTACTCACATCCCCTCAAAGCTAACACAGACCACCAGAAAGCAGGAACACAGCTGCACAACTTAACACTTTACAAAATAGCAAAGCTATCCCAGGTCCTAGCATGCATTTGGACCAAACAACCTCAAGATATAGAGTACATCACACACAAATATCCTTGGACCAGGCCTTACAAGGAACTGCTGCATTACACGGGATGCAAGTTAGGGAGGGCCAAAGAGCCAGTAGCAAATTTCTAACATGAGCCCTCTCCCCGCTTCCCTTGCAAAATACCAGAACTCTACCTTGGTTGGTTCTCTTCACCAGAATGGGCTTCCCAATGTCAATGGGGCGCTGGGCACCCATTTTCACTTTGACGCTTTGTGGAATGGCCAAGCCTTCTTTTACACAGGACCTGGCTGCTGTCTCAGGTTCTGCAGAGAACACTTTGTTCAACCATCTGCTTGCTTTTTTTGTTGTAAGTATTTGAGACTTCCTTTTCTTGATCTCTACAGAAAGATTAACTCCCAAAAATTCAGCAATCTCAGAGGGGAAGGTAAACCCTTTAACATACGGCATCTGTTGGGTCTCGGACACCTTTTGCAGCAACCCAGACAACGCCCCATATAAAGACGTAAGCC